CAATTTTCAGGGATGGAGGGAGTAATATTTTTTTATGAAAAAAATATTGTTAAACTTGTCTCATTGTAAATTTTCATAATCTAATTTTTTTAATTTTTTTACTAATACAAAATCATTTATATTAATGGTCAAAATTGTGTCTCGGCAAGTATGAAATGTTGACCGTTGCATTTATTTAAGAACGGAGGAAGTACAATTTTAAAAACGTATTCCTAAAATAGTTTTGACATTATCAAATAATAGTCAAATACTACGTATATTTTAGGAAAGATAGTATTCTAATTGAATTCATTGTTGACTTTATTTTACTGTAAGGGTGCTAATCAAGCAAGTCGAGCTCGAGCTTGGCTTAAATCGAGACTAACTTGATGAAGAAATTAAGACCGAGTTTGAATTTGAGTCGAGTCAATAAACTTATTACTTGGTTCGAGTTGAGTTCGAGTTCAAGTCGAGTTTGAGTTGTATTCGTGTTTAATCATTTCTAAAAAATGATACTACCTCCGTAACTGATATATCTTCCCGTTTGAAAAGTAGGTGAGATTAAAAATAGTGAAAGGAGATATAAATTATTGAGGATATGATGGGAAAATAATGAAAAGTGTGTTGGAATGAAGGATAAATCCAAAAAAAGTAATTGTAATATTGTACGAAGTATTATTTTGAAAATTATTTAGGGTATGATGTAGTGATGGAGTCGGGCCAGGCAGCCTGGCCCGGAACCGGCTCGGGACCGGTACTGTTTGGGCCCGGCCCGGCGGCCCGCTAGAGCCCGATTCGGGTAGGACCGGCCTGAATGTTTTGTTGGGCGGGCTCGGGTCATGGAAATATGGAACCGGCCCGGCCCGGCCGGGCCCAGTTCGGGCTTTTTATTTTTATTTTTTTGTGTTTTCAATTTTTTTTTATTTTCCCAGGATGGGCTAGGTGTTTTGGGTCATTTGGGGTGGTTTGGGATGGTGGGGGTGGGAGGGATAACTAGAGAAGAAAAAAATAAGAGCTGGCCCGAGGCCCGGCCCATACCCGGTGGAACCCCGGGTCGGTTCTGGGCCTTCCCCCAATCTTCAAAAGCCCGACCGGGCCTAGGCCCGGCCCGGGTCCAACACTAGTATGATGGGAAGATTTGAAAAAGGAAAGATATGAGTGTTACAATTTAAAAAACAATTTTTTTGTTTTACGTTCAAACAAGCATGTGCAACCATCTATAATTTATCAAAAATAAAAGCATTGTTTTAAAATGATCGCTTAGTTGTCTCTTAGATATCAGGACTCTTTAACGTCTATGAGTTATTTAAACTCGGGATGAGATAAGTTCTCATAGTGCCTCATGAAATCTCAGCTGAAAGTATTTTTACGTGAATGGAGGAAGATCATATGAAGAAGTAGCAGAAAAAGTCAAGTTCATTCATTGTTGTGTTTACAAGATGCGTAGTGTTCATATTAAGAAAGCTATTTATAAGATTTGTTTACAACAGAATTGTAACTACTTAAACTTCTAGATGGTTCTAAGTTAGTTATCACGTGTACATGCCTCTCTTGTTGTATGTGTTAGTCCAAAATAGGATGTTCGTAGACTTTTAGGAAAGCTACGTTAGACGCTCAAGCAGGAATTAGGAAAATAGTATGGAAATGGAAAGTGTGAAGTAGGTTTGATAGCAAGAAATAGCATGCCTAGTATTTGGAATATGATTTGCCTTTTATAGGCGTTTACAGATCGTAACCGCTATCAATAATAATGACAAATTAATTACAACATTAATACGAAATTAATACATAATTTGTCAGCGTATTAATTACTTGACCGTTACTCTTCCTAATTAACAGGTCGGCCAGGCTGACAGACTCCTGGCTGGGCTGGTAGGCAGGCTCCAGGTTGTGGGCCTGGGACCCATGGTCCAAGCTCGAGGCTTGGGCCGATTAGGCTTTGGGCCTAGTCCGTAACTCCATCAGTATGTGTGCTTCTTTCTTTGTGTTGTATGCATGGCGTGTGTTTAAGATGCCAAGAGTCTCTATAATCCGCATAACACTTTTATAACATTATATTAAACATGTGCACTTCTAGTATATTTTTAGGAGAAGATAAGTATAAGTTGTATGCATGGATCAATGCTATAAATATATATTATAATGTCGTTTGTATGGATCTAAAATAATCAACACTAATTCAAGAAGTTTGTAACATTTTCGAGTTGAGTATATATAGCTTGAGTTTGACTTAATTCGATATAAGTTGAATTGATGTACGAGTAGAGATTGAAACAAGTTGAACTATGTTTGAGCAAAAAAGAATCCATCTCGAGTAGCTTGGGGATGAGCTTTTCATTAACATCCTACTCTATCGTATCTCTAGAAACAACAATTTTGTGGAACACACTTCATTATTGTACACACATATGTAAAGGCATTTTTCTGGTGAGAAAACATATTTACCTTGTCTATGACAGGCAAGAACAAAACTTTCACATGTATTTGAAAAAATGTGTATAACAATAATAAAGGGGTTTAATGCACCAAACCCCCCTGTGATTTGGAAATTCGGCGCATTAGCCCCCTGTGATTTAAAAAATGCGTCAAACCCCCCTGTGTTTTAATTAATCATGCACAGAACCCCCTTTATAAATAAATTTAACGATTTGAAAATCACTTTTCCTAGTATTTTGATTGAATATACAAATAAATATGTCAAAATCTCTGAATCATACAAAAATGTTAATCATTTTTCTTTTATTTGACAATTGAATTTGTTCACATAAGGGATTTGGCGCATGATTAATTGAAACACAGGGGGGTTTGACGCATTTTTTAAATCACAGGGGGCTAATGCGTCGAATTTCCAAATCATAGGGGGGTTTGGTGCATTAAACCCAATAATAAAGTGTGTGTAACTGTGTATAGAAGACTTTTTTCTTTTAGAAAATGGGTGTATGTCGGCAGTATAATGAGGGAGAGGAAAAGTAAAAGTTGAAGACCTTTCCCGTGACTAGAATCCAACCACCGCTAGTTTTTTAACACGAAATCGCCCAGAAAGAAAACCGCACTGCCGAATAGCTTCCGCACAATCGAGAACCAGCCCCCACCCTCTCATCTCTGCCCCCCAGCACAAGAAAACTTCTCTACACATCCAGAAGCTCCTTATCAAACCAGAAGCCCCGTCTTTTTTTCCTGGCATTCGCGCAAAGGTAGAAGGAGACCTGAAGAAGAAGAAGAGGAAGAAAGGTTAGAGAGAGATGCTGCATATGTTCTTCGGCATGGCGTTTTCAGCTGTGCCTTTAACGCTGTACATCCCCCCAGTCAGAAGCTTGAATCTCTTTGTCGAGGTCATGGAGGAGCTGTGCAGGGAATCGAGAACCTACACTAGCAGAATGTTTCCTCGTTTCCGGCGTGCCTGGTCTAGGCTCTTCAATTTCTTGCTCCGCAATTCTTCTACTTCTCCGACTTGAATGTCCTCTAGGTTAAATTTACCTTTCCTTTTTGTGCCTATTATCTAATATACGTTCGTCTCTGCACCAGACTGTCCTGTCCTCGGTTAGCTTTCCTTTTGTTTTTTAAGTGGGAGTTTTTTATTCCTGAAACAAAAAGTATTATACTCTTGTTGTACATGATGAAGAGAATCATCAATATAAACGCTTTGTGAATTGTTTCCTTTCATTACAGTACATGTTTTGGCAGTACTTTGTCTCCATCTTTTCATCAATTCAGAGCAATCGTGATTGGGAGGAGTTACTTTTCCGTCTGCCGGCAATTCAAAGTTCATTGGTATTGACTAATTTCAGTTCAAAGTTAATTTCATCGAATTTTGAACTCATTAAAAAGATTCAAATGCAATCTTTTGAAGAGGGGAAATTCAGAAAGTAGCTTTAGAACTTGGTAGTTGGTACTTCTCCAACTCACCAGAGGAGAGTCAGCTGGAAATTTCAGTAATGTCATTTATGTAATTTACATTGCATATAACAATTTTAATGTTGAAATTAGGTAGGAACGATATCTAAAATTATTTGTTTTTAGATGATATCACGTTCTTTCAAAAACTCGAAATTTTTAAATTTTAAAATAAAAAAAAAAAAAACATAGAAATATAAATATATGATCTCCCCATTCTTATTCATGTAAACGCAATTGCAAGTCTATGAAAACTCAAAATCGCATTAATCTTCGTGCCTATTTTTATACTTGAATAAATATTTTGTATAATTAAATCTCTATCCATATTTTTAATAAATGTTACTTTGGAAAAAACAAGATAAGAATTAAGAAATGAGAAACAAAAAAGTTAGAATTGTAGTTTTATCCAAATATCCTAATATGATTCTAAAAAACAAAAGTAGAAGCAGTTCACAGAAGCTCCGTACACCACGACACCATGAGGATTATTTTAGGGAACATGCATATTAAAAGATCAAATTGAGAATCATCAAAAATTTTGGGTTTAGGGTTTAGGGTTCACGTTGATTCAAAATGTAAGATTGATGAAGCCTTAAAGAAAAAGATTATGTTCATTGATGTGATCTTTATATCAGCGGAGAGACTCGCTCCAATAGTCTAATTCCTTGTTCAAAAAAGTTGGTTGTACCCACCCGTATGCTCACTTTTGTATCAAGCATGTTTGTGTAAGGGTTTTTTTGTTGTCTGTGAATCCCGTTCATGTTCTCAAATATTTTGTCTGACAAAAAGAATCATTCACAGACATGATAGATATAAGGTGGGTATAAAAGTGTGTACAACAAGAATGTATAAAAGTATGTACAACAAAAGTGTTTTAGGCTTCGGGTTGAAAGGTCATAAATTTGGTCTGGCCAAATCTACAGTTCTTTAATGTATAAATGCTCGAATTCAAAAGAAAAAAGTTTCTGAAGGGGATGCTATTGTCTAGCTTTTGGAGATTTGTACGTTGTACTTCTCATACACAATGACATTTCTGCAGATGAACAATTTACTCATTTCTTCACATGTAAAATGACTTCAAATGGCAGAGAGACATTTGAATAAGCAGTTAAAACCCAGCCAGACAATGCAATTTCGCTGTGATGTCATTTGAGTCTTGGGAAAAAGAAAGAGATCTTGAATAAATACTTCAACACTGCTCTACAAGATTTTCATTCCCAGGTCACATGTTTTAAAATGCATTTACTTTCAAGGAAAAATCACTACTACTACAAACTAACTACTCCGCACTATGTAAGCAAAAAGAGCAAAAAATACCAATCCAACCTTTAAAAGGAGACATAAAACTATTGCAACAATAAACACTAGTATTAATGCTCTACTTTGGCTGTCCTAATAGTACTTCCATGCCTTGTTTCATTTCATCAATGCATACTCCTCCGTTTAGCATGTCTGGCAATCAATGATTTAAGTTAGAATTACTAGAAATTATCCCTAATAATATATCTTACATCAGGTAATTGCTTGCCTTTTCCTATAATGCACTGGGTCACTTTGCATTTTCATCACTCTAATTTTGAATTCTCTCTGCTTCAACGGCGAGTTTGGTCATCAATAGAAACCTCAGCATTGCAAACAGGGCATGTCTGACACATCAAACAGACAATAACTGTGAAGAAAGTGTTTGGTACAAATTATCTAAGATTCCCTTCATAATGTTAAGAAGCTAATGTCAGATTGCCTCGTTTGGTTGGAGTAGTGAGACTACAAAAGAAATGTAATTCAGAGTATGAGATTATACCGTTTGGTTCGAGTTCTAAGATTTCACTTCAGTAATCTTAGATTACCACCACATAAGAAAATGAGAGGATATTGGGAGTAATCTGATTACCTTGGGTTTCATATGTAACATGAGATTACCTCGGTAATTTTCCAATTCCCTTAAATTACGTATTCTTTCACTCTTATACATTTTTTATATTTAACAGATTAATATTGCATTTTAATTATCTCAACCAAACACACCAAGTAATTTTATATTCCTATAATCTCAAATACCTAGCTAATCCTATTACATAAGTGATTCCTCCATTCTCATGTCTCAAATTACGTTCCCTAAGGTAATCATATTACCTACGACAATCTTACATCTGCCAACCAAACGCCTCATGAGGCATCAATATCACACTTTCTTATTGTGGTGAGAGACTAGGCACATGGCTTACCTTGTTAATGCCCAGCCACTTGGAGACACAATCAGAATGGTACACATGTTTGCATGGCAAGTTCATTTGTCGGTCTCCTCGTTTATACTTCATTTGACAGATGACACATCTGGTTTCAGGGAGCAATGAAAACCAATATAAGAAGTAGAACAGCTTCTCTTACTACAATCCCTTTTCTGAAACTCAGTAATGGCTGGTTTAACCTTTTGCATATAAACAAAATGATTGTACCTCTCCCCACATCGTTTTTTGGAGAAAATCCAACTGCACTTGTATTTAGAGGTTGGAAGGAGATCGATCAGTTCTTTGGGAAGACCTCGACTTTGCGTTCCAACTGTCTCGCCTAAATCCAGCAGCTCCTGCACAGATAGGAGAATTCCACAACTTATGACAGCAACTAATTTGCAGAAACCAAATAATCTCATACATCCAAGCTAGAATAGTAAGAGCTACATGTCAGAGCCTTAATTCCAAATCAATGGAGAACAGAGGAATAATCTCACAAGCTCATCTCTGACATGCCGAAAATCCGTTCAAAATTGGGAGCACATATAGGCAAAAGGTTTGATAGTTTCAAATGTATTTAACTATCCATTCGAAATTAGGAGCACATATAGGCAAAAGGTTAGATAGTTTTAAATGTATTTAACCAGACTAATTTCTGAAGATCGTAACTTTTGACTAAGGGTGAGTTATGGTGCCCACAACATATCACATCGAATCTTTTTTTTGAGAGAGAATATCACATTGAATCTTTTTCTTTCCACTACATGGATGAAATTATTTCAAGGTGGTCACAGTTGACCGACCCAACCTCCCCCACCCCTTCCGACTCTGCATCCAGCATTAGCACAATACCACTGAAATGCCACCATAAAAATTTAAAATAAAAAACGATGTCTAACTTGTTCCAATCATATCCATACAAACAGTAGACAAAAATGAGTCCAGTAGTTATTGGACTAAATCGTATATCAAGCATTCAATCATTGCACATGTACTTCTATCCCCAATGCATTATCGTGAAAGCATCACATTGTTGCAGCAAGTGAACAGGTGAAAGAGAGACAGGTTTCGCAAAGAAAACAAAAATTAAGAATGTGCTCTGCAGCATCTGCTGTCATTTTCCCACTGAGATGGTTTATAGTCTTTATACAAATACTTTAAGATGTATACATACCATATGTGGTTTATACAAGTACTTTAGGTGTGTGTGTGTGTGTATAAATTAGTAACTGCTTTGTACAAGATGGTTTATTAACCAAAAAATGATTTGAACAAGTACACTTGTTCCCACAAGTACTTACAAACTACATGAAAAATTAGGATGCTAAGGTTAGTAAGATAAAGAACATCTATGAATATGGACTGCTCTTCCAAATACTGATATTCCAATTATTCAAAGTTTCATTCTGTATAATAGATGAATCCTGCATCCTCATAAATAACAAGGATGCACCCCATGTGAAATAAAACAGTTGAAAAGCACCATGGAGTTGATTAAGCAACTTCAAAGAGGTTGATAAGAGAAAATCGAGAGTTTAGATAATATTCACATGGTGTCGAAGGCCATATTTGCATGCATTATAATGACGAATGTTAGATCTCAGCTCATCATCATTACTTTAATCCTAACTATGTGGGGACAGTGGCATGCATTCAAAGTGCTAACTCAAGTTAAACAACTAATTGACACTATATATAAAATATACAGTGTCAATTAGTTGTTAAAAATTAATTCACGCTTTTCACACAAAAGAACATAGTGACAGTTTCCCGTTGGATGTCCTAGGATAGTGAAATGAAATAGAATAAATGTCATCATCATGAAACCGACCTCAACATTGTTAGTTCTAAGGTGCTGAACTGCCAAAGTGGATGATGAGTCGTATACCATTACAAATTTGATACTACGAATTACAAAATAATCATGACAAAGAAAAATCTCACAGCTACTAACCTATTAGTAGTAATTCATAATATGTATGTTCTCTCAAAAAAATCAAATTCATCATGTGTAAGCTCTCTAGACTAAATACAAGAACATGAACTGTAGGTGGTAGAAGTATTTGATTCCGCTCTGGGCGGTTGAGCACTATTGCTCCCATCAATGGCTGAGAACCTCTACCCAAAGAAACAGAAATCTATGATGTATATAGAAACAGTATGGAGCTATGGATAACGGACCTCATATGTCATGTTGTCAGGATCAATATCATCTTCCAAAATGACCTGCAATGTCACGCACATGGAAAAGGAATGTTATAATTTTTGTGCCAAATATCAGCAAATAAAATTCTAATTTACTGAATGAGGTGGAATGACAACACAAGCAGTTCTAGTTAATAAAATATTACTCCCTCCATCCCACGGAAAGTAATCATGTTCAGAAAATGAGGAACAATACTAGAAACGTGACTATTTTCGGGTGACTATTTTCGGGACTACCGTAGTTTGTGAAATAATAATGCCGTATAAGAAAATACACATGAAATGGGCACATAATCATCCATTTCTTCAGTCAAAAGGTGTTGACACATTGAATTCTATTCAACTCCTGCAAGTAAAGTCCTTTCTGATTCCACATTTATATTCCCCACTGTAATATAAATTAATACTTCACGTATACTTTATTATAATTACTCCGTATATCATTAGTATTAACATTGACTAAATAATACTAATGCCTTCTTTGCACCTTCTAATATCCATTCAATTTGACTCCGCATTCCAGTGTTGATCATCATTGTCTACAGTTAGTCACTTTGACCAGTGTTATGTGTCAAAGACAAGCAAGATAATATATATTCAAGATTATCCAGATATACCCAAGATGAACTGGTGGTCCCTATGCAGAACTTCATAAGAATTTAAATTAGCCCGACAATTGTCAGAGATCATCACCCTAAGGTCCTAACTCCTAAGAGCTGACAGCCTTTTGATACAGACGTACAGTCTTTCTTTTGCTTTTGAATTTAAATTCATTCAAACAAAAACAAAGAGAGCTTTTAATATGTCCATTTTTATTTTCAAAAATACTTTCAAAGCATTGGTTTCTCCTTTCAAACAAAACAAACCGTTGATTCATTTCTTAATTTTTTGCCTGTTCCAATCAAAATATCATGCTTACTCACCTCCTTCACCTCACCCTGGAAACCATATGTTCTGGATCTGTTATTTTCTCAGGTTTATTATTTTTAAATAAAAGCCACACCTGAAGTACTATTACATCACACACCGGACGAACCACAATACCAAACAGTTTCACTCAATCCAACTTATGATCAATTCTACATCCACCGTGTTCTCAAGCTGCCAACCCATCTACAGTTTACCCGATCTACCCCAGGACTTGAGTTAATAGTAAGGGATGACTAAAAATTGCTCAAAGATTTCAGATGAATTAAAATGCCTGTCCCAAAAACAAGAGTCAAGTTTTTAAAACTGATAGCTATATTACAGATTTACAGACAAGACTCTTTTTTGGGACAGGAGTTACTTCTAGGCACCATACCTGATCATTAGAGCCATCTTGCTGTGCTGGACTGCCTACTGAGACAGAAAATAGAAAATTAAAAGAAATCAAACATTGCTAAGGAAACTATAAATACTCAAGAGTACGAGAAGTTCAGTGACTAGTAAACATAGAAAGCTCCATTGATCATCCCTGCCAATAACACCATAATCCAAACTTGTCAACTGGATGGCGTGAAACTTATATTTTGAATTGATTGTCAAATTCTTTAACACTATGAAATCAAAATTAAATGATAAAAATATCATGATTGGTATAAATGATCAAAAACAGCCTAAGCTGCTGGGCCAACAAATTAGCCCATTTGGTTTGTCTAAATGTGTGTATAATAAGCCTTAAAAGATTGATCCCTTCCCCCCCCCCCCCATCTCACATCTGGCTGATTCTGTTGATTTGCCTTTTAGCAAAAACATTATGACATTTTGCTACTTTTTGGGCTGATTTTTTTCACAATGAAATGACAATTATACCCTCATTTTCTTGTTTTGCCCCATATAAATATCAGTAAATATCTTTTTGGTATTTACACATCCAATAAATCATTTTAACTGAAAAAATCACCAAAGTCTCCTAATTCAGTCAATTCAACCATTTCAAGATTTTCAGCTATCACCTAACGGGCACTAAACAGTCACTGCTAAAGAGAAATATCAATTAATTGAAACCTTTTCATGGTTTTGATACTAGCATCAATTTCTGATAACAAATTAAACTCACTATCTTCGGGGTTAGCATCTAAACTTGGGGCTGCATTGTCATCTGATGCTGACTCTACTATGTCCACTAAAGGTTCTTGAGCATTCGTCATGACATGGTAGTTCAAATCCTGCTGCTCAGTGAGACCCATCGTTGATAAATGGTTACTACTCTCGTAAGGGTTGTAATAGGAACTTTCCATTCCAGAAAATCCAAATTTGTACCAATTCATATTCATGGTCCAGTAAGTAGTTTCCTGTTGACCAAAGATAGGGTAAGATTTCACGCCAATATTCAGAAAAGATGAAAATTGCTAAATTGTTTGCATGTGTAACCCTGAGATTTGAAATCTTTCCTCAAACACATGAAATTGTGTTTTCTTCATTTTCAACAGACAATCCATTTTGACTCTCGGCTCTATTGTGTAACAAGACATTATTGTCGAAGGATTAACCTCATTATGAACTTGCTGAGAATTTGGGTAATGCAAATAGGCCTGAGAACCATCAAAGTAGTATGTGGAGTTCTCTGGAACACAATAAGGAAAACTTGTATTTATGTAATGCATCTCCATGTGTTGATCACTGTTCATCTTATAAAAGCCTCTTCCCTTTCTCCCCCCTTTTAGCCTGAGGAATAATAAAAGAGCGAAAACTAATCAGTCTCAGCACTGGGTTTACACATAACAAAGAAAAATGCAGGGAAGTTCATTATCATTTCTCTAGAGAAAAAGAAAGGGATAAGGCCATGCTCTTAACCAGATTCAACCGCAGAGCCTGAATCTGAATTTGACCTGTAGGAGAAAGCCAGTTGCAATGTGCAGGAAGACAACAAATTTTCAGCTACCACTTACTATTACCAGACTAAAATCCAAAGCGCAAACCACCATACACATCAGGAATACAACCATTTCAAAGAAAAACGTGGCATTTTCTTCAATGAAGTACAAAAACATGAACGTAAGCTAAAAACTTAAGGTTAGCCATTGCCATTAAATCCCCTAATTTTCTTGATTCCGCAGAAAACAGGGTAGAAAAAGGCACGAGAAATGGAAAAACTCCAAAAGCAAACAAATGTGAAATGCATACATGTTAACCACGCCCGGACACAAAACACCAAAACAAGCACATACAGTGCAAAATAAGTTGAAGGGTGGGACGTGGGGGAGAAAAGGGCAAGCTAACCAGCTGAGGGAGAAGCGGCCAAACCGGAGAGGACAGGAACGGAGAAGTGCAGCTTTATTTATTGGGTGTCTTTTTCCTCTTTGAATCTTTGAAGAAGATATTGGAGAGTGTGTGTGTGAACAGACAATTCTTCTTGTCTGTCTGTGTGTCCCTCTTGCTCAGCTTCAGGCGCTTATACCGGACTTGAGAGACACGCCATCTTGTCTTCGCACACTTCACAGATTTAATCAGACAGAAATGCTTTTTGAACCCCACCCACAGATGACATCAATGCTCCATGTATGCTCAATTTTCTAGCTTCAGGCTTTAATTTTATAAATCTCGGTTTGAATTTCTATTTCATGGATTGCATTCGCCTCACTCAACTTGGTTAATTTGCATTCCCAATTTGTTTTGTAAAATCAACATTTTTTGGTCAACTAAAAATAAAAGTCAACCCTCTTATGCATAATTAATTTAATTTTTAATAAATAAAATTTACATATTCATAAACTACATCAAAATCTCTTCAAAGTTGTAAACTCCAAATTAGAATATAATTAAAAATTGGCATCCTAATTAAATGAACAAAACGCAACTGTTTGACCAAGAAAAGTCAAATTTGCAAATCAATTCGGGACGGAGGTAGTACTAGTCATGGACCCGGGCCGGCCCGGTTCCGGTTCCGGGCCGGGCCCGGCCGGGTTTTGTTTTTTAAGGAAGGCCTGGGACCGGCTCGGGTAGCCACCGGGTCCGGGGCCGGGCCGGGCCTCCGGTTTGGTCTTTTTTTTTTTGCTTTCCTAACCCCCCTCACCCCCCCCCCCCCACCCCCCCAAACCCCTCCTAACCATCAAGCCCAACCCGGGTAACCCCAAAAAATGAAGGAAAAAAAAAAATCAATTCAGCCCGGACCCGACCCGGCCGGGCCGGTTCGCCAAATACAAGGCCCGAGCCCGGACCTCCCCTCCCACCGGGCCTAGGCCCGACCCGGACCCGAGAACCGGGCCGGTTCCGGGCCCGCACAGTAGCGGGCCGGGCGGCCCGAACCGGGTCCATGACTACAAAGTACACAGTTTGCATGCAAAGTTTTAATGTAAATTTTTAATGTGTAAACTAAACATGATAATAGAAGCTTTATTACTTTCCATTGAAAGTTAATAATGTGTGGTTATATCTATCTTTTCGGTCATCACATTTTTTATACTTCATAATTCTTCTGCTCAGATATGGCAATATCCAACTAGAGGAGAGAGTGTTTAAACTTTTATTGGCGACAACGCTAAAAAAAGGGGAAAAGGGGCAAAACCACCCCTCAAGTAATCACTAAAGGGTATCTATGCCCTTAAAGTTTTTCTTTGGGCAAAAATCTTTAAAATCTCTCAAAAAAAGGGCAATGACCCCCTTGTTTACGTGAACCAATTTGACGGAGTGAGCAAGTCTTAGCATGGTTCCTTTGACTTTTCAATGCAATGTATTTTAATGGTAGTTATTAATTAACTAATTTTGTAAGTGAGTGAAATATATAAAATAAAACAATTACATGCTCCGTATGTAAGTACCGTAAAGATTAGAGATGTCAATTGTGTTCGGACTGATGGATATCTGCACCAAACCGCCTCGGCCCGGTCAAAATGGGAAAAACCGCATTGATCGGGTAACGGGTATGGGATGAAGAATACCTGTTTTGTTTTTAGGGTAATAAGGCAGTTGCGGTTTTATATATATCCGCCCCATTACCCGCCCCGTTAATTTGTAGTTATATTTTTATTACATTTTTATCTATTATTTGTCTACAACTATTAAAATATGAGATCTTTTTCTTTCCATTATGTATATTAAGATTAAGATTATAGATGTACTAACTATAATGTATGAATGAAAGTTCTTAATAGATTTTAATCTTGTTTGATTATTATCATTTTTTCGTGATTAATTATTTTTTAAGTTAAGTATTTTTAGGTTCAAATTAATTTAAGTTGCTTCCTTTCTCGTCTTGTAGATATACGAATCTTTAAGTGGCGTGTGAAGTTTAGAGTCGTCTTGGCAATGTCATTTTTCGCCTTTTAAAATACTACGTATCATTTTTACATCAAAAATTTAATGACTCATTTACTAAAGTGGTTATCCGCGGTTACCCGAAATTGTACCCGATACACGTTGGGGCGGTTATGGTTCGAGTAAAAATTACTCGTTGGGTAATGGGGCGGTTACGGGGCGGGAAAATTATCTAACGGGGCGGGTTCGGTTATATGTAAAACCTTCCTCGATCCACCCTGTTGCCATCCCTAGTTAAGATGTGAGGTTTAGGATGTTTTCTTTTAGACTGAAATTTGCTGGTCTGGTCTGGTCTGATCTGGTCTGATCCGGTATGGTCTGGTCTAAACTGGTCTGGTATGGTCTGGTAAACATTTGGTCTGTGTGTATATATAACTACCGAAGTCTGATCTGGTCTGGTCTAATCTGATTGGTCTGGTCTAGTCTGGTCTGGCCTGGGACTGAAAACAGTCCAAAAGAAAACATTTTTAGTCTTAAAAATGTTTTTACTTAGACTGTTTTCAATCCTATACCAGATCATACCATACTTGAACAGACCAGATCAAACAAGACCATACCAGATCAGATCAGACCAGACTTAAACAGATCTAATCAGACCAGAAAATTTCAGTCCAAGTAAAAACATCCTAAACGTCAATTTGATATGAGGAGCAACTCAGATCTTAATATAACTCTTTATTACTTCATAATTTCCTATAGTCGGGAAAAAATTTTGTTAGTAATACACATGTCAATTTTTCTAATATTATGATTACATGTTAATTAATACGAGTAGGCTATATTTTGTGTTGCATATGTTTTACCTTATTTACCACACAATGTAATATATGGTTTTGAGTTTCAACTTATCAGTCATTTTTTTGTCAAACTATTTTAAATCAACTATTTTAGATGAATTGTACAACGGTCAAAATAAGTGACTGTGATATTGATAAAATTGACTCTTTTTTAAAGCCAACTATTTTAGATTTTTCATCTAACTCTTTCTTTATATTACTACATGGGATGAGAGGGAATAGTGCGGTTATTAGGGAAAGTTAGATTGTGTTATTAGTGTTAAATTGATACAGTGTGAATAAATTAAAAATGAATTGTCATTGTCTAAATATTACCAAATATGATATTATGTATGTGGTAAAGTTAATGCAACAGACGCAAAATGTTGAATGGGACAAAAGGGATATTAATAAAATTTATTCTAAATATTATTTTTTGTAGTTCAATAGATTCAATTAATTGAGTTGTTTCTGTCAAAATTTTGTCCATTTTAGTATATTAAAATGATTAAGTCGAATTCAATGTTATTGAAGGGGTCTAGTCATAGTACAGAGTAATTCTTTTCTAACTGTTAATATACTACTTCTGTCGCACTAACATTGAGACATAATGAAGTGACATAGTTATTAAGAAAAGTTATTTTATATGGTTGATATTGAATTGATAAAGTAAGAATAAAGCAAGAATGATTTAGAACTACACATGAGATAATGAGATAATCTTAACGGGATGAATAAAAAATGAAAGATGAGACAATCTTGGCGGGATAGAAGAAATAATTTTATGTACAATTGTTATTTAATTACTGTGTCACTTTTTTATGGTTTACTTGTATTTCTAATTGTTTTATTTAAATTTTTATATTCCAAGTAATTTACAAAACTAGTTTAATAAATAAAAGGGAAAAGGTGCAAATAGGCCCATGTACTAACCGAAAAAGGTCAAATAAGCCCTTATTTAGGAGACTCTGTCCGGCCGTCATCATTTGGGGTGGTTCCCGGTGGAATTTTTTGATGAAATTTTTTTAGCATCTTATTCATCAAGTCTAGTTTACTCATACCAAATTTCAACTAAAACTTCAATCGGGAAGGCATTCAAATGAATTCTTGAAGATAACTGCGCTTCTAACTGCACAGTTATTTTCAAGAATTCATTTGAATGCCTTCCCGATTGAAGTTTTAGCTGAAATTTGGTATGAGTAAACTAGACTTAATGAATAATATGCTCAAAAATGTTCATCAAAAAATTCCAACGGGAACCACCCCAAATGACGACAGCCGGACAGAACCTCCTAAATAAGGGCTTATTTGACCTTTTTTGGTTAGTACATTGGGCCTATTTGCACCTTTTCCCTAAATAAAACTAAAATATACTACTCCGTACTACTTCATTGATCATTCAAAGAATCAAAGGGGCAACAAACGGTTGCCGACTAGGTTCACCGTTAAATCATGGGGGTGGTTGCCCCCCTTACAAGATTTTTAAAGACTTTTGCCCAAAAGAAAAGTTTAAGGGCATACATCATCCTTGTTGACAACTTTAGGGGCATTTTTGCCCCTTTTCCCAAAAAAAAAATTAGCTCCGTGAGTGAGATATAAATTTAAAGTTTTTCCATAACGCGGTTAAGCAAAGAAGGAGAATTATTAGGATGCGAGTCAAGGCACCTTTACTGCAAGTGAATATGACAGAAGGTAAACTGTGATAAATGGGATTTGGCCTAAGATGATCCGGTTAATCATGGAATGTACTTTGACAATTAGCTATTCTTTTCAAATTGACAAGGAGTTGGTGAGATCTATTGTACCAGAAGGGGTTGAGACAAGAAGGTCATTTGTTGTTGTATCTATTTATTTTGGTTATTTTGGTGGCCGAAGGTTTAAGTGTTTTAGTTTTACTCATACAAGCCCAGAGCACATGGGAGTTACATAAGGTGACATTTTGCAAGGGGTGCTCCAAAGATTTCTTATTTATTTTTTTGCATATGGCAGTGTATTAGTCAGGGAAACCGTGACCTGCATAAACCTTTTAAGTAGGTTACCTCGCCATGTGTATTTTCTTAATTGGACTATAGTTTGTTCAATTTTTCTTTTGTTTTTGTTTTAGTTTTCTTTTCTTCTTTTCGTTTTTTTCTTTCTTCCTCAAAACCAAAACTTACATCTACTCCGTGCTCCAACTTCTCGCTCGAAGCTCTGCTCTTTCTTTTTTCTGTTTTTCATTTTCCCCTTTGAAGTCTCAGTCTCCACTTATCCTCTCCTCCTACTTTGATTTCTACTCTTTTTTCCTTTTCCTTTTATTTTCGTTGGCTGCTTCTCTCTTCAATGGAGAAAAATGTGAGAGGCACATCCCCTTCTTTCCACTTCATTTTTTTCTTGTATTTATTTTATTTTCTCCTCTTGAAGAGGAAAACCCTGCAACGGGGCCATTAAAGCTTGCAACCCCCTCAACTCCAAACAGAAGCAGATCTGATCCCAGAAGATAAA